CCCTTCCGTCGCTCCTGCCCAAACGCAAGACGTTCCGAAAAGAAGGAGGGAGAGAGTCGTTATGACTTATCCCAATCGGATGACGGTAGAGGTTCTCAGTGAAGATGAAGAGGATGAAGAGGATGAAGTGCCTCTTGCTCGTCGGCAAATGTCGCGATCTTCTACTCAAGCTCAAACCCAAGCCCTTCCCGGAGTTGAATTGCGTACCAAGCATCGCCATGAAGGATCTGGGATTCAGGATGAATCACGCCCATCAAAAAGATGAAAGTAGACCGCTTCTAAGCCACGTGTTCGTCTTCCCGTTTTAGAGGAGACCTCTGCACATAGTGCTTCTTCAGACGAACAAGGTAACAATTCGTCTTTATTGCTCTCAAACTTCTTAACGCTCGAACTTACTCCATACTCGACTTCTGTAGGGAGTCAAGAAGAGGGAGAATATCGAGTTGAAGCTGCTTCTCCCGGCGGTATGGAAGCTGAGGCGCCCAGCTTTGTCCAACAAATGCAAGATGCTCTGAGAGACGAAACAGCTGGTGTTCCACCAATTTCTAACATTGATCCATCGGCTTCAGACACAGGTACTGATCTTTCCCCCTTCGGAAGGCAATTCTGAGAAATGAATGAGTCGGACCGTGTGCCTCCTCTAATGACTTGTGCGCTTTGTCTCCTTTTAGTCAAACTAAAAGAAGCGGGTGCAGGTAGTGGAGCTCTCAAATCCGTCCCGGTCGACAAAGGTAAAATTAATCTTCGTTTTGAGCATATTCGTCTAAATTTATATGTTATTTATGACTCAACACATTCTGTAGATGCCATAATGAAAGAATCTGTTGGAGAAGAGGCCACACAAGCAACAGAGGTTGAGTATTTCAACGAGCATAACCTCGATCTCGATCTCTCAGATGGTGACCATCAGTATATCTCTGATTTATTATCGGGGAAAGCTTCTGATACAGCCATCGGATCAACTGTTGGAGTTTAGAAATTACTGTCACTCCCCAACTTAGTCCGATCGCAACAAAAGCGAGACCAACTGAAGAAGTTAGTATGTCGGCCGATGTTGTGCCTAGAGTTGGTGAGTTTTACCCATCATTTGTTTTAAACTTCTGATTACGGTTCTATTATACTCATTGTGATTCTCTTGTTTGCAGAATATTCTCCCAAGGAACCTCTTAACTTGGACCCGAAGTTTTCTGAGGTTTTAGTTGAAAAAGCATCTGATGTAGCAGGTACGTCAATGGCTGTTATTCCTGAATCAACCTTGGTCATGCAGGAGGCCGTACTAACATCCTTGGGTGAACAAAGTCATGCTGAAGGCTCTTCCGTCGAACTCGGTATGCTTCAGCTCGTTGTCATGTATGCATATATATGTTCTGTACTGACTTCTTTGCTCTCATCGCAGCTCCTTCATCATTATCAAATCATATCCAAGCTTTGTTGGCAGACGAGGATCCGGATAAGGCTGTCATTTGCTCTGATCTCCAAGGCTTCATCTCCTTTTTGAACTCTATGGTCGATCGCATTCTCTTCAAAGGATCGTATTTTGAGAATTTTAAGAAACCTCTTGAGCGTTATATATCAGGAATCAGAGAGGAAAGATATAATGAGTTAGCCGATTCGATCAACGCTAATTTGGTCGACTTGAAGCAACATGTTGAACATCTGAAGGCTCTTCGCACCAAAGGTGTACCCTCCTATATCGCTTCTCACATAGACTCCACGTTGCAAGCGTGGCGTGATTCTCAAAAATCCGCTAACTTCGAACTCCAAAAGCTAAGAGCCCGCAATCATCAGCTTAGGGTAAGTGTCGCCAAAAGGACACAGGCCAAGGTCGACCGGTATCGGGACTTAGAGTCGAGTCGAGCCGAGATAGCCCGCTTGGAAGAGCAACTTGCGAAAGCCAAGGATGCTCATGAAATTCTGGAGTCTGATTTGGCAGAGATAACTCAATCTGAAGAAAACTTGTTTCAGCAACTGAATCTTCAGGATAAGATACTTGCTGAAAAGGAACAAGAGGTCGCTGAACTTCAAAGTGTTGACGAAGAAGCTTTCAAAATTAAATTGACGGCTGAGCTTGAACAGGCTTATGCAATAGAGCTTTCGAAACTTGAAGATCAAATTCATCAATATAAACTTTTGTAATTGGAGAACATATATTTTTGTAGCTTTGTTTGAACACTCTTGGTCAATATATTGAATCCTTTTGCTCATTTTTATTATGATTACTCATTCTTGTTTAGAATAAATAACCATAATACTTATAGGATTTTTGGCAAATCCTCAGCCATTAACGGATTTGATATGCCTTTACCGACTACCGTTTGAATCGGGTTAGTATGTGAATTATCTAAATCCGTTCCACATATAACGTTGTGCTAAAAGAATTAAACTCGTTTAAACTTTAAACTACAATGTTGAATATGTAGGCTACATGTGTTAGATGTAGGCTTATCTTTAATAAGGGATAGAGATAACATCCCCCATGCATGAACGACATGGATGTTAAAATATAAGTAGGTTGCGTTTCCTATATAGGGCAATGAACCCGATATTATAAAAAAAGGATTGGGTATTCTATCTTTCAATCTCTTGTTTGTTGGTAGAGATAAACCCAAAAATTAGAGAGAAAGAATTCTATCTCCTGATCTCTTATTTGTTGGTAGAGATAAACCCAAAATCGGAGAGGAAGAATTTTATATTCTATCTCCTGGTCTCTTGTTTGTTGGTAGAGATGAACCCAGAATCGGATAGGAATAACTTTATATTCCATCTCCTGGTCTCTTGTTTGTTGAACCCAGAATCGGATAGGAATAACTTTATATTCCATCTCCTGGTCTCTTGTTTGTTGGTAGAGATGAACTCAGAATCGGATAGGAATAATTTTATATTCCATCTCCTAGTCTCTTGTTTTTTGGTAGAGATAAACCCAAAACCGGAGAGGAAGAATTTTATATTCTATCTCCTATTGCAAAAGAAACTCAAAGTGGGATCTCCACTTAGAGACTATCTCCTATTGCAAAAGAAACTCAAAGTGGGATCTCCACTTAGAGAATCTGGACTGGTTTGAATAATCCTAACTGTCATAAGGTTTGATTATTCAATTCAAAAGTGGATCTTTCGTTCACAAAATGAATCGAAAGGAGATTTTGATTGTGGTCCTAACTGTAGTAAGGTTTGACCAAGTGGGATTTTTGAGACGATCCTAACTGTAGGAAGGTTTGATCGTTCGATTTATGGGCCACTCGTTCATAAAAGGAATCAAGAGGGGATTTTGGTTTTGGTCCTAACTGTTTAAAGGTTTGACCAAGTGATCATTGGGAGTTTAAATGATTTTAATCCATGACAGATTTTGGTGTACCCTTCGTCGATCGATTTGATCGGTGAGGGGTTTTGTGAGGAAAGATTAACTATTTACAGATTTGAATCTCATCTCAACAAAAGCTGTAAAAGAACTTTATGATAATAAAAAACATATTATTTGAAAGATCAGTTTCATATTTAGAAGGACAAATTTTCAAAATCAACCTTTTTAGCATTTTAAATAGCAAAATCGACCTTATCTCATTTTATTCAGCAAAACCGACCCTTTTCTTTTGAAAAGGGTCAATTTTGCTGGAAGAAGTTTTTTACGACATACACGGGACTGCTAGTCCCGTGTATTTCAAAATACACAATGAAATGAACGGGACTAGCAGTCCCGTGCATTTTACAGAGAGCAACGAACCAAGGGCACAATGAAATGCACGGGACTAGCAGTCCCGTGCATTTTACAGAGAGCAACAAACCAAGTGCACGGGACTGCTAGTCCCGTGCACTTCCTGGGCACAATGAAATACCCGGGACTAGCAGTCCCGTGTATTTCCTGCACATAATGTGCAGAAATATGTATTTCTGCTGCGGGAAAATTCCCCGTACAAACTCATTTCAAATGCAACAATCATAAATTACACCATTGCATAAACACATATATCAATTTCCTATACAAACTCATATGTTAATTCCCTGTATAAACACATATATCAAATCTGAAAATCATAAAATACACCACAAACTTACGAATCCAAATCCAACAAATCACGCCACAAACCCACTTACAAATCTAATAAGTCACACCACAGTCTCCGTTACAAATCCAAAAACCATCTATTGTCCTGAAATACGTTTGTAATGTACATATCAAAATAGGATTGTAATTTATATAACAATACCGATTAGCTTATATACATCCAAGAACTCTTCTCCTCCTCCTTTGTCTTCGGCTTCCTCCATCCCGACCTTCGATGAGTTCATGATCCGGTTGCGTTTGTGGTTGTGACGGTCCAGCTCCATCGTCAACACATTGGGAAGGCCTAGCTTCATTGTCGTTTCTGCGTCGTCCTCGTCTTTGTCGTGGTTGACGTGTGTATACTAATTGCGCTACCTCTCGTCCATCATGAAGGTCTTCATGAGTTCGATGTAAGGCTTGGTGAAGCCTCTGCATTATCGACTGATATATTGATGCATGTTTCTGTGCTTCGGGATATGTACCTGCGAGAGATAATTCAAAAAAATCCGAAATGCAAAAATTACTTTAAAATTCAAATTACAATATGTAAATTTTATATTTAATTCTATATTACCTGCATGAGCCAATTCCAAGCCACTATTTGCAATGGTTTGAACATCAACTATTGCTGATACCTGCAAATTTTTAAAAAAACATAATTTAGCAATATTGAAAAATACTAATAAAAATATACCCCGAGGCACATATCCTCTTTGCAACTCAACCGGGGATGTGGTCGCATGGAGTATCCATCTTCTAGTTATCCTCCAATACCAAGTGTAGTAATCTGATTCCTGGGGAGTTGGCTCGATTTGCTCAACAATACAAAAATGTCTATCATTCCATCTGTGTATATAATTTTGATGCTCAGCTGCCCAGTCCTTTTGATGGCCTCGTTGGCCTCCTTTCTTCGCCTTCCTCTCTATTTTTTCAACAAATTGCGGAACATGTTGTGCAAGACCAAATTGTCGAAGCACGCGGTCCGGTACATGCATTTCTACTATCTCGAAACATATTAGAGGAACTCTGGCTCTCCATATAACTGGGTATTCTGTGCATATAGGGGGTAGATGATCGAGAAATGGGGTGTAGGGCTCCCATTCCATCTACAGAGTATTACATGTAATTGTTGCATATCATTAAAACGAAAGTTGATATATAGAAGAAAAAACTCGTTTTTATAGAAATGATACCTGAAAAATCTTCATGCGGTCAAGCTCATTTCGGTAGAAATCTAACTGTCTCGCCGGGGTCTCGTCAAAACATTTTTGGACATTCCATCTGTGTTAGTTTCAAAATTCAGTACCAAATGAATAACTACAATTATATTTACTACGTTAAAAAATATAATACCTGCATCCTAGTGGAATTTGTCCGTCTAATTGTAAATTCACGCATAGTCTCGGCTTCAAATGCAGCCTCTCCCATGCCCATACTTGCAGTAAGCTGAGACACCCTTTGAGGTCACTATTTTTCATCAATGCAACATTTGACATCTCTCTATATAGGTACGCCAAAACCGCACTACCCCACGATAACGCACCACACGTGTCCAAGTCCCCGATAAGTGGTAACCACCTAGCATTTTCATAACATTTCAAGTTATCAAAATAAGCTAAATCAATAGACATAATTGTAAATACTGATAAAAATGATACTTGGCATGCACTTTATCTTTACTCGAATCTGGAAATAATATTGAACCGATCATGTGCATAATGTATGCACGTGCATGTTGCTCAATCAATATTGGCGGCGCATCAAAAGGCAACGGCACCGAGAATGTATCTTTTAGCCACTTCAATTTAATATTTCCTCCAGGCATTGACTCTGGAGCTACACCTAACAACTCCTCACACTTGTCCGGCCAAAAATGTCTATCACTGCCGGTAACGCACGGACCATCTATGCGGAGACCAAGTATCATAGCTACATCCTGTAGCGTAATAGTAGACTCTCCCATTCGGAAGTGGAAAGTGTTGGTCTCCGGCCTCCACCTATCTATCAAAGCGGTGAGTAGGGGCCAATCGAGCCTCATCCAACGAAGCTTTGAACATGTCAAGAAGCCGGCCCGTCCTACAGCTGCTATTATGCGCTCATCCTCTATATGCCAACGACTATGGCTGAGGCTATAATCAACCATAACAATATCCGGGCCTCTCTGTAAAGAAAATGAATATATAAGAATACAATATTATAAGAATGCAATATTAAAATTATAAGAAACTTAGTTACCTCTGTAAAGGATATAACATGTGAACGGTGTCGAGGCTGGTCATATAGGACCTCATCACTACTCGGTCCATACCGATCCACGACTAATTATATTGTCTACATTAAAATAAATCATAATTTAAATATGTTAATTATTACCAATTAATTGCTATCTATTGAGTCTAGCTGGACAACGAGGTCGAGTATGTCCCGGTTGTTTGCAAAGACTACATTTTTTATGCTTGACAATTCCTTCTCGTCCTTGATCCATGGTTCCCCTAATTCGTACAGATCGTGGTCGACCTGCTTATCTCTTGTATTGAGGTGGAATTAGTCGTGGTCCAGTATATTCGGGCCAATACCGACTATCATCGGGTGGATGAAAACTCTCACTGTATGTCTTTCGGTAATGAATTGTTGAATACCATGGTGAACAATACCGATTATATGGAATTCTCGCACCACCCGGCTGATTGGAGGAAGCCGCAAGAACATGTGCACAAGGTATTTTTTAAAGTTGTGGTGTGCACAAGGTATTTTTTGAAGATGTGTACCGTCAATGCTCAATAACGGACGACAAAAAGTGAAGCCCTTAATAGCCGGACCAAATGCCCAAAATACTCGAGTGAACCTCTCCATCCCCGGTGCAATCTCTTCAGACAATATTTCATATTCAGTACCCGGATTATTTCGTTTGATAGCTTCAAGATACTGTGGAAGTAATTCATAAGATTTTTCCCAATCTCCAAATATTTTCGACAACGCTTTCCTCCTTGCATCATATGCCTTATATTTAGATATCTTAATGCCCCGCATATCATATACCCTTTGAAATATCTGACTTGCATTTAGATCAAGTTCAGCTCTAACTTCAGGCATAATTAGCTTACATATATAAGAGGAAGATGCAGAATAATGATCGACGTCCACCGACGGATTGCAACATGTATGAAGCCCGCAATATCTAGATATTACAAATTGCCCATTTGTTGATTTCCTCACAGCGGCATTTAGCAACCAAGGACATTTCCTGTTTCTCTCATCTTGCTCATTTGCATGCTCTACTTCATTCTTCTCGTTGAAATAACATTTTACATAGTAGTTGGTTGCATTAGTTTTTACAGGCTTGAATTTGACCCGATTTTTTATAGACCATTCTCGCACCGCAAAGATCAATGCTTCCTTGCTCTCGAATAGGTCCCCTTTTTTAAAAGTGAAGTCTTCAGGCCGTTGAAAGTTTGGACCAACATCAACAAATTCAGCTTGCGAAGTATTTATCCAATCTTCATTATGAAACTCGTCGGGCAACGGATCTTCAACTTCCACATAATCATTGTTAACATTAAATTGATCCATCCAACGAGAATCATCATCGATTCCAACTGCCACATGCATGCTATCAATTTGCACGTCTTCTTCTTCAATATCTTCTGAGTCATCATTTACTTCTTCTTCTACAATTGATCCGGCCGGTAGATCACCCGTAACATAGCCCGATGCGTCGTTAAATATAGTACTTGACGTCCCACCAAGAGAATGCCCACTTAAATGTTGTAGTTGACACCACGGCTCTTGACTTGGAGATGTCATAAAACCACTCGACTCATTGTCTAAGTCCATCATCCGAGAAAACTCTCCTTGTGGTCGTGAAGCTTGGGCAAATTCTTGAATCGGATACTTCTCAATGAACAACTCAAGGCTCTCTTTCTTGCTCTAATTCACCAAAACTCAAGGCTCTCTGCTCTAATCTGCTCTGGAAATGCTCTCTCTCCTGTCAATGATGGCCATAGGGGGGTATTTATAGCCTCCTTAGACGATAACTGAAGAAATAGCCGATCAACAACTGCCTCTTTAGGCGCGGCAGTTGATGCTGTCGCGGCTAAAGGGCGCGGCAGTCGACACTGCCGCGGCTAAAGGGGCAGTTACACCCACGTTCATACGTGTTTGAAACTGTTCTCCCACGACCTTTAACCACCTTTTTCGTGGTTTAACTGCCTGTCCACATCAGCACACGTTCTATCTCTAATATGCTGCCACGCGGGCTTTAATAATCATCAGATAACTGTATTATAACTGCTGCAGCATCCCCTATAATGGTCGCGGCACCATGAGTAGCCGCGCCTTGGCCGCGGCACCATAGGTTGCCGCGCTTCAGCCGCGGCACCATGTACTGCCGCGCCCACACGCTGTAGTTTGCATTGTTCTGTGAATTCACATTGTTTTGTGTTGATTCATAGATCCTTTTGCTTCCTTTGGGCTTGTATGATCTCCCATGACTTAGATACTGATGTTTATCACCTTCTCTTTGTCTTGAGTGGTATTTGGATGTCTGTAAGTATTTTTTGACGTCTACAGATACCCCCTCCAAAGTATCACAGACTCATCATTTTGAAGATGAGTCTGGGACACTTTGGATATGATAAGTTTTCCTTGCAATTTCTTCAGTATTTTGTTAAGGAAGTTGCGTAACATACTCTATGGATGGCTTCAATCCTTGACTTCTTTATCTTTTAGCTTATTCAGTACTTTGTAGAATAGCTAAATCCCTCCGGTGCTGCGTTTATCACGTGGCCGTTGTCGAAGTCTTGAATTTGAACTGCCGTCGAAGAATGGAGAAATAGTTTATACTCATATGCTCCATTGGAGTGTTCGGGAAATAGTTTAACCTCATATACCCGTTAGGAGGTTCAGAGAGATGTAGTTTATACTCATATACTTATTGGAGTGTTCGGGAAATAGTTTAACCTCATATACCCATTGGGAGGTTATCAGGTTATTCTTAAGAATATTTTGAGTAATATTCTCCAGAAACTTCCTATTGAGGGTAGGGAAACAGTTTAGACTCGTATACCTATTGGAGTATTCTGGTCTCTTTTTGTTGGTAGAGGTGAACCCGATGATGGAGAGGAAGAATTTTATATTCTATCTCCTGGTCTCTTGTTTGTTGGTAGAGATAAACCCAAAATCGGAGAGGAATGATTTAATATTCTATCTCCTGGTCTCTTGTTTGTTGGTAGAGATAAACCCAAAATCAGAGAGGAAGAATTTAATATTCTATCTCCTGGTCTCTTGTTTGTTGGTAGAGATAAACCCGGAATCGGAGAGGAAGGATTTTATATTCTATTTCCTGGTCTCTTGTTTGTTGGTAGAGATAAACCCGGAATCGGAGAGGAAGAATTTTATATTCTATCTCCTGGTGTAAAAGAAACTCAAAGTGGAATCTCCACTTAGAGAATCTGGAGTGGTTTGAATAATCCTAACTGTCATAAGGTTTGATTATCCAATTCAAAGTTGAACCTTTCGTTCATTGAAGGAATCGAGAAGGGATTTTGGTTTTGGTCCTAACTGTAGTAAGGTTTGACCAAGTGAGAGTTTAACTGTTTAAAGGTTTGATCGTTCAATTTGTGGACCTCTCGTTCATGGAAGGAATCGAGAGGGGATTTTGGCTTTGGTCCTAACTGTTTAAAGGTTTGACCAAAATGGGAATTTTGAGACGATCCTAACTGTTTAAATTTGATCGTTCAATTTGAGTGGACTTTTCGTTCATGGAAGGAATCGAGAGGGGATTTTGGTTTTGGTCCTAACTGTTTAAAGGTTTGACCATATGGGAGTTGAGACGATCCTAACTGTTTAAAGGTTTGATCGTTCAATTTGTGAACCTCTCGTTCATGAAAGGAATCGAGAGGGGATTTTGGCTTTGGTCCTAACTGTTTAAAGGTTTGACCATGTGGGAGTTTGATACGATCCTAACTATTTAAAGGTTTGATCGCTCGATTTGTGGACCTCTCGTTCATTGAAGGAATTGAGAGGGGATTTTGGATTTGGTCCTAACTGTTTAAAGGTTTGACCAAATGGAGGTTGCCAATTGTCATGAACTGTTTAAAGGTTTGATCGTTCAATTTGTGGACCTCTCGTTCATGGAACGAATCGAGAGGGGATTTTGGCTTTGGTCCTAACTGTTTAAAGGTTTGACCAAGATGGGAATTTGAGACGATCCTAACTGTTTAAAGGTTTGATCGTTCAATTTGTGGACCTCTCGTTCATGGAACGAATCGAGAGGGGATTTTGGCTTTGGTCCTAACTGTTTAAAGGTTTGACCAAAATGGGAATTTGAGACGATCCTAACTGTTTAGATGAAGGAAAAGCAAATGGGACAGCTTCATCCTTGAAGGATTTCAGAGTTTCATGAAGAAAGATTGACATAATGAAGTCATTGAATCTCATCTCAATGAAAGAGTGCTCTAAAAATCACAATAT